GTTAACATTTTTTCATCAGAGAAAATGTGTACAATATGAGAAGGATGCTGTACAGTTCTGGTTCAGGTGCATTGCCACGGATACATATTCCTGAACGAGTCAGAAAGCAATTTGCCTATACTCTCCCCCTTTAATTCACTCAAGGAACTGGCTAATCAGAAAGTTTAGAAAATTGTATTATGGATTTACAGTATGACATATATACAAAAATATATATGTAATACCTGTGCTATATAATTCCCTAAAAAGCTGGGTTAGTATAATGAAAGAGCTGGACAAAATTTGAATGGTATATGTAAATAAATACATATTATGTCCCTTTTAATAAAAAATCTGCCTATTCTAAATATTTGAAATATTTTGGTGCAGTGGCTTGTTCCATAGACACAGCTCAGAATTACATATTTCCCATAGACATCTTGTATTTACAAATAACAACAAAATAAGTTATAATAAAGTATATCCTTCTGCCAAAATCAATTATGAGGGTCAAGTAGACAATTTTATACATATTAAAAAAGTTAGGGTTTCTTTTGTCTTCAGTCCTTCCTGATCCTCTATGTAGATCCTGAGTGACTACAATGGGACTTCACAAGCTTGTACGTACCCAACCCTGCCAAGGCCACTGGTCCCGAGAGACCCAAACACAGCACACACTAAACAGTTCAGAGCAGACAGCAAGGACAGCCCTGTCGCTGGAAGGGCACTGAGTTCTCAAATCTAGGCTCCCCTCCTCTACAGATACAGTGGTAGTTATCTATAACCCACTGTAGTAAATGGGGATATAGGAGATTGGGAACTCACATTCTTAAGAAATTCTGGTTGCCAAATGCTGAGAAGCAAAGAGCTGAGTTCAGGTCTGGGGTGAGTTCTCTTAAATGGAATTTTCTCCCTTTCACTGGGCTGAATTTCACCCACTGAGACATTATGATGATAACAAGCTTGCTTTAAAATATACTGAAAATGCTTAGTGGATGATTGTTCATTTCTGATATAGAAATAATTATTTTACCCCACTTTCTAAACAACAGCTAATGCACCCCCCACAAACATATTCTGTGAGCTTAGGAATAAAGGAATTTTACTTTCAGCATTCAAAATTTCATGTTTTGTGTTCCAATTACAGACACGAACCAAACGGCCAGTTCAGGACTTTCAGTGATTCTGGCAAAATTGCATATTATTGTCCAAAGGACAAAGGGATGGAGGTGAGCTAAGAGGGGGAGGAGAACACTTGTGAGTGTTAAAGGGAGACAGGTCAGGATGAGGATGAAGAAAAGCAAAGCTCTGCAAAGCACATTTTACTGCTTACAGTGGTATAGGTTATAAAGAGCAAAAGCAAAGTATTTCCTTCAGGAAGGCACAACCTCCCCTTTACTAGACACAGCTGTTTCCAGCACGTACCTCCTTCCTCTCTCAGTGGTGACCACTGGTACCTTCTAGGACTTGGACATAAGCAAAGCAAGTAGCGAGGTCCGGGCAATACTGCTGCCCCACGTGTCTTCTGTTCTACGAGCTTCACGTACTCACTTGAGTCAGCACTGGACTGACTGCTTTTACCAAGCCTGTGAACAAGTAACCTAAAATACATCTTTGTATTAACATGTCATTAACTTAATACGCTCTGTAACACATTTGGTTTTTCCTGTTTGAAAGGACCAAACTCGGAACTGCACCTTATTGTCATAAAAGTGGGATCTAACCAACAACATTAAACACCACTTTATTCATACAGAAAGTTCTCCATTTACTAAAGGATTGGGGAAAAAAAAGAAAATGGATTATACGTGCAATGAGGAAGACACTAGTTCCCTGTGCAGGGATAGTGAGGTAGTCCTGCATCGAGTCAGGGAGCATACACTCCAGCTGGACTTCAAGGCTAGCAGGCTTGCAAGAGCAGCCCTGTCTCCTGCACTGCCCTGCACTCAACTGCTTGCTGACAAGCCCTTCTCTAATCCAGAGCCCTGGTGTCATTCTCTAACAAGCCCTTCTCTAATCCAGAGCCCTTCTGTGGTCATTCCCACAGAAGCCACCCTCATGCTTCCACGCCATCATCTCCAGTCTTCTCAGCTCGTGAGAGGAAGGGAGAACCCCACGAATTCAGCACTGCTAGTAAGTGCTCTCAAACTTGGCATACCAATGCCATAGACAAGCCCTTCCACCTACATCTGCTTGGATCTGATGTTGCACATGAGCTAGCAAACCCTGCTGGACCCTTGATAACCTGGTAAACAACTACTCCAGCAGTCCTCAACTCCAGAAGGAAAGTGCTTTGAGACACAGAGCCTGCTCTGGATGGAGCCGATTTTGGCCATCCACATGTCTGCAAGACATGAACGCTGTATGCAGATGTTACCCCTATAAGGAGGTAGACTGCTTAGACTTTTTAAATCAACAACCTACAGCAGTCTTCCTACACCTACTCTGGCCTTACTGGAATGTGTAAGGTGAAAATCTTTAAGGCAAGGAAGCATTTTTTCCCACCATCCTGTAAGATTTTGACTGATGTTAAAATATCAGAAAAAGAAATTAAAGCATTCACACTCAGAAGCCTGCATCATTTCTTACTTACAGAGGTTTTACACCTGCTCTAAGTCTACTGCATTCATTAAGGCCATCTCTGATTTACAGTGATAGTAAAATCAAGCCCTCTGCAGGCACCATCCTAAACCGGTGCACTGCTCTTGGAACAAACACTTGCTATGGTCACCATTTCAAAAGTGCACTTTGTGTGATGGCAAAATCTTAACGTAGCACTTACTTCGTGTACATAACATCAGTACATTAAAGTGCTGAAAAGAAGGGTTCATTATATTTTGATTATGCTGACACATGAGATGATAAATTATTAAGTTCAGCAACATTCTGGCAGTTGCCTTATCATTAGATGTTTAATTAGGTGAAACAATCTTTTTTTGCTTTATCTGGTACACCTGAAAACTGTCCCTTTACTAAAAAAAACAAAAGAGTACAATTTGTATAACCATAACTCCCTGCATTCAAGGCACATAGCTGTATACCTCAGGCATCATACAGGGTGATATTGCTACGTGTATGTATATAAGCTTTGACAGTTAGCTCCCAGGAAGTCTGTTGATGTTAGTGGCAGCTTAATGGAGCCTACAAGATGATCTCTGTAAAATAACCCAATGGCCACATATTCCAGAACAAAGTAACATGCTTATAAAAGAGCAGGCTCGCCTGTCGATGTGCTGAGTCGCTGACTGTCTCAAAGCCAAAAGTGTGTGCAAGCAGATTATTTTCTATGAACCGAGTGCAAACCTGATTACCTCTCTGCATTTCATTCGCCTTGTGGTTTTCAGAAAGCCTTTTTATGGAACAGGTATTTCCCTCAAGCTGACAGGATACACTTCCTTGGGACAAGAGAGACAACAGCAAAAATTATATACTGTATGTCAAGATTTGCTGCAATGAGACTAAAAGGTGTATTTACAAATACTGGATGCCAGAGTTGTTTAGGTTGCACTTTCTCCATATCATTCTTTGGTCAAGAATCTAAGGAATATGATATGGTCACAAATCTGTGGGTTATTTTCATGGATAAATGTTCATAATACAAGGTAAGAGGACTGTGGAAGATTCATGAACTGAAGTGAAAAGTTTTCTAATTAGCATTTCTGTTTCTAACGGATTTATATCCATTAATTACAGTGAAAAAGCCCAAATCAAGGTTTACAGAAACAGTCAATGGCACTATTGGTTTGGGAGTGCCATCACTGGGAGTGATATCACTGTGAGTGACATCACTGTGAGTGACAACATAATTATTAAAATGGTTTCTCAACCCGGACCACAGGCACCTTAGAAAAAGATGCACAGTCGGGTATCACTAATTTACAAGCCGTATGCTGCAATAAGCAGCTGAATAAGCAGAGGTGTTTATTTTTTTCCTCTCAGCCTTATTTACACATTTGAAAGACCTCTCAAGTACAGGCTAGAGAATGTGCAGATAATGCAAAACCTTTCAGCTGCACTGCACAGCACATTCTATTTGCTTTTAGCAAGTCCCAAGGCTGAGTACTGTAATTGCAGAAATGAAAAATCACCACCTAAATTCAGCTCTAAGTCTGGAGCCATTCTTGAGTAGTAGAAAAGGAGCAATATGAATAGATCTGCGGGATGAAACATTGACTAAAAAACCCTAAGTATGTTGTAACGACTGATCAAAACCCCAACAGCATCAAATGCTAAGATCTCCTTTTTACAGACACCCAGCTACTACACACACACAGTAACAGCCTGTAACAGACTAATATAAAGCAGAGAGGCCTGCACCCTTTGGTGGTTGTTTCATAACCTGGTGACATATCCAGACTAGGCCTGGACGGAGTACTTTGGTACGGTAGTTGTTAAGCAATAGTGCAGAGACAAGACATAAGGCAAGACACCAGTTCACTGAACCAACTGCCCTACAGGAAAGAGACCTTGCCAGTGGAAACAATCACGTTCCATAACAGCCAAGGCTCCTCACCTTTCTGGTAAGCCTGTCTCACTGACAAGACTGAAAGGGCTAGACACTAGTGGCACTCCGGTAGGTAATGTATTTTAAAATCCATACAAAATTAGAAAAGTGTAACTTCAAGCATGTATGAATTAAATATAAAGGCACTTTTTGGCAGTCAAGTGTATATATAATTTGCTGCCTGAGGACGGGAAGTTAGTTAAAAGTACAACTGAGAAAGCTTAACAGTGATTCTAATTTATTATGAATGGATTGAAGTAATTAAAAAGAGAGGTTAGAGTGCTAAGAAACTGATGATAAGTGGGTCTTCAAGGGTCTGGTTCTTTGTGAAGCAGTTTCTCATGTGCATGTTTCATTGATTTAGTCATCTAATTTAAGGCAGTCCAAAATACCAAGTGAGAGTAAGCACTTAGCAGCTGCATCCATACTGGTCAAATATCTCCAGTAATTTCCTGTGATTGATTCAGTTTTCATTAACTTCACAATACTAAGGATGGTATGTTCTTTAAATAATTATCTGATGAGCAGGTGCAAAGAATAGTATCATTAAAATCTATTGCTTTAAAAAGATCATGGTTTTACAACAAACATTTAAAAAAGATAACTGCACAATAACTGTAACTGAAAGGGTGTGAGATTTAACCATAGTCCTGATGCACTCAGCAATATAAAAAACATCTCTAAGAAGCTAAAACCTGTTGTAGTCAAAACAGTAACACTGTTCAAGCTCCTTCCAAAGACTGACACTGCTGCTTTCAGTAGAAGAGTATTTGTTATCTGCGTCCTAGAAACCCTGATTGTCTGTTTGCCACGCGTGTACAGGATGCACAACAGGCTGTTTTGTAATAGGTGTAGACACAGAGCCGGGCCTGAACCACCACATTGCAATTGTAGTATTTATCTTTGCAGTTCTCATCTGTGGAGAAAAAAAGAGAGAAGAAACAGAAGAAAACAGTATTAGAGCAACAAATGACCTATTCCCTTTCTTTTTACCACGTAAAACCCCCTCGGACCTGTATGTAAACATTGTCAGGTTAAAATAGGCTACCTCTGCAAGTAAGTTAGATCATGCTAGATTTTCTATGTATACCATAAACATACATAAAGCTGTGAAAGAAATGTACCTATCCCCATTTTACTGTTGTGGGGGCTTTGGGGGTTTTGTTGCTGGTTTTTTGAAACACAAAATTTGTCTTTATAGACTTGATAAAGGTGATAGGAAAGTCTCTAGTATTATTCTCTTAGTACCTGTCCACTTCATTTTTAGATTCACAGGTACCTACCTCTTGTGACCAGCACCTGCAAATATTACTTTCAAGTACTGACAAATCTAAATTCTGGAATACAGTAAGCCATTTCCCTCCTTACAATATTACAAATGGCTTAAAAAAAGACAAAAGCTGGTGTTCTTAACAGTGTCCCTGCAGCCCTCCCCAAAGCTAGGATTTGCTCTGTTCACATTTTCAAGTTTTCCCTTACAACCAACAGGGTTAGAAATACTTTTAAAAGGACAACTAAGATTTTCTTATGGTTATGTATGTGATCACAGAAACTGAAATGTTAAGAAAAAGACTGTATGACAAACCACTAATAGCAGATGTAAAGATGAGCAGTACTGTACAAACCTGTTTTAAATAAATAACAGCAGAAATACAATATGTAGGTTTTAAAATAATATTGGTATACCAGGTTTTTTATATAGTCATCTTAAATTTGGTTGAAGAATATTCTTGGGTAAAAGTTGTTGTAGAACATAAGAGTTAAAGCTGTTACTAAATAATTGCATCTTCCTTTCCCTAGTCATTCTTATTACTATTAAAATCAAATCTGTATGAGATGAATGACTAATCCCAACAGCAATTTATGTGTAGGTATATATAAAATTGCTTAATTGCCCTTAATGTCTTAGCTTAATGTTACTGATTCTTACAGAGCCTGTCACCAAATACAGTATACCATACATGATCCTTCTTTTGTTTTAAAGACTCTGCCAATAGAAACATTTGAGAATGCAAGGAGACTGCATAAAAACACCCTGTATGTACCATTTTCACAGAAGCAGATTTCTGACGTCTCAGCAACTTTATAAGTAAGCTGTTTTTTTAACATGTTACAAGGAAAACGTTTTTAATTGGAATTATACTCTCCTTTTACACCATAGAAGATAGCTGTGTTTTGTGTAAAAATAAAACCCCAAACTTGATTAAAAAAATACACTCTAAAACCTCTGCGAGATTATTAAGTATTTTCTCCACTAGATGGAGTTCCGTAGTTAGAACAGAAGCTTACTCTTCCTTACCTATTTCAGGGATACAATCCTGTGTGTTACATGGTTCTTTTTCTTCAGGTTTTAACTGTGGGTCACACTGAGTACTGGCTGCCATGTCATCCGATAGGCATCGTACCTCTCGAACCCGAAATCCTCCTTCACAGGATTTGGAACACTGAAACACAAAAGCTGAAGTTCATGAAGACCATATGAGATGTGTTAATAAAGGAAAGAATAGGAACCTGGAAGCCAGAACCAGGTCTCGCTGCAGCCTTTTACCAACGTCACCACTTCTGTTGTTCCTTGTTTTCTAACTATGAAGTCCTTAACATACAGTGCAGTTTCATTAAAGGTTCAATAACAGTTTTTGGAAAGCAAATGTGGTACACACTACGCAACTGAAAGCTTGCTAGAGGACTTCCTTTTCTGGATTTATTAGCTGGCTTCTTGCTTCTCTAATTAGTTTTGTTCTTCTCTGCTTACCTCCCAAATCTACTCTTTCCACAATGTTCACATTTCTTACTGTAAGAACTTCCTGCTCTGAACTTGACTACCTGACCGCACTGCCCTTTTGCCTCTATTTATATACAATCAGGAATGATTTTAATTGCCTTTTTCCTGGTGCTCAATTATTTTTCTCTTCTTGCAGTACAATAATTTTACTAAGAATTATAGGTTTCTTTGAATTTCTAAAGAAAACATTTCTGTGCTCCTTCCAAAATTGTTATGAAGCCAGAGACTTTTGTACTTGCTTGTCACGGTATTTTTAAAGCCAATTATTACACATTTCTGCTCATACTGAAGCAAATCCCCTGTTGACTTCAAGAATTTCGCCTGAGTGGGGTCTTTGAGATTTGGCTCTCTGTCCATTTTGACCTAAATGCTCACAAACTTGATTAAACCTGGGTCATTTATAATGATTAAAACCTTAACAGCCCTAAACCACTAAGAATGTTTTCTTTCTGACTTTGTTGGCATAATTATTTCTTTTCCTAATGTTACAAAAATAGGTTATTACTATCATAAAATCAGATATTGCAGCAAACTAACTAAAATTCTCAATAATATATTCTTAAATTTCTCTTTCATCTTTAAGTACAACCTTTCCCCACTTTAGGAAAGACATAGCCCTGTCTTCTGAGTAACAGAACACTTGAGGTTTTTTTAATGTAATTGCTCTTGTTAAATGCCTGCATAGAGCATTGTAATTACCCCACATCCAATACTAAGAACTTCAGGTTTGTAGAGGTCTTAAGCACTTAAAATGGAACGAAGGCAGAATTTAGATGTTACATACAAGACACTATATACACAAACCCCAGCATTCTGCTTTAGCCAGCCAGTTAACCTCCATGACTGGGGGGCCTTTCTACCCTAGGCCACAGCAAAAGTCTGCTGAAGATACGAACTGGACAGTTTCAAAACCAAGTACAGGGGCTTTGAGCCAGCTATTCTGCTCACAGCTAACCCCATAATCCTTTCTCTTCAGGTCTAACAGTACGAAATACCATCTACTCTGTTGATAATGGTAACCATACCAAGGAGAATTGGAAAACACCTAGAACATGATGTTGTAAAACCTCAGCTAGCACACATATTTGTTCCTCCAGTGATCACGGTCATGCAGGCTTAAACCTTTAATGATGGTTAGACACCACTGCTTAGGAAGTAGGCACTTAAACAGTAACAGGGTATTTTTCTAAATACCTTTCAGATTCTGAGCCTTAGCACTTTGTTTCTTCTGTGCCTGCCAAACAGAGCATGCGTTTGCACTTTTAGAAGGAATCTATCTGCTGCTTTCGATGGATGCAGACCATCTCTTGTGGCTACACACCTGCCGGTTCACATTTGAAAATGGGCTTGCTAATGGGTTTGCTAAGGGGAAGTTGTTTAATCTAAACTAGCAGCTCAGTAAAGAATCCGAAGAATTTCCAGCAGTATCAAAGAACATAATTCAATCTACTTAGCTTTCTTATGAACCTAACTTGGATATTGTTTTCAAATAAACATTTAGACCTGCAATTAAGGAAGTAAAATCAAGATTCCCTTCAGCTGATTTATTTTGTTAAAACCATTCTACCTTGTTTTCTGCTTTCTAGTGCTGCCAGAAGGCCAGTCAAATAATTGAGCTTGTAGTAAAAGTGAAAACCAAAATAATTTCTCTCTTTCAGTCATGTAGATGAAGTATTTCCAAAGGTTCCTGACTAAGGGAACTCAAACTAAAGGCATATGAAGTGCTTCCACATTTCAGAGCTGCCATTCTGAATTTGACTCAAGGCTCAAAGAAGTGTGTAAGTTACTGCATTAGATATGATGTCATCTGAGTAGTTTTCACACCATTGTTCCTTCTAAGATGAAAACGGACTTTCTGGATTTCATTTAGGAGAAAAATGGTGATTTTTTGGTAAAAATCTAGTAAGTTTTGTCAAGTATAGGAAGTGATGGAAAGATACACGAAGCCAAAGCACTTTGTGGCACTGGTGAATGTAGCTGGTACACTTCCAGGGGAAACTGAAGACACAGGAAGCTCTATGGTAAGTCTTCCCCCAGTAAAGTTCTAAGTACTACAGTGAAGAGTTTACAGGAGAATCATGGAATGGTTTGGGTTGGAAGAGACCTTAAAGATCACCCAGTTCCAACCCCCCTGCCATGGCCAGGGACATCCTCCACTAGACCAGGGTGCTCCAAGCCTCATCCAGCCTGGTCTGGAACACTTCCAGGGATGGGGCATCCACAACATCTCTGGGCAACCTGTCCCAGTGCCTCCCCATCCTCTCCAGGAAGAACTTCTTCCTGATATCTAATCTAAACCTCCCCACTTTCAATTTAAACCCATTACCCCTTGTCCTGTCACTACAGGCCCTTGTAAAAAGCCCCCCCCAGCTTCCTTGTAGCCCCTTCGGGTACTGGAAGGGGCTATAAGGTCTCCCCGGAGCCTTCTCTTCTCCAGGCTGAACAAGCTCAACTCTCTCAGCCTGTCCCCATAGCAGAGGCGCTCCAGCCCTCTGAGCATCTTCGTGGCCTCCTCTGGACTCGCTCCAAGTGGTCTATACCCTTCTGATGCTGAGGGCCCCAGAGAACCCTCACAGAACTCCAGGTAGGGTCTCACAAGAGCAGAGTAGAGGAGGAGCATCACCTCCCTTGACCTGCTGGCCACACTTCCCCTGATACAGCCCAGGATACGGTTGGCTTTCTGGGCTGCCAGCGCACACTGCTGGCTCATGTCCAGCTTTTCATCCACCAGTACCCCCAAGCCCTTCTACAGTAAAATATTACAGTAAAACTGACTTTAAAAACTGAACACTTCCCTCATTCTTTATTAAATGCTCTGTAATTTTAATGAAACTAGAGGACTGAAAAGAACTTCTTAGTGCACTACATCGCCTCATTAAGGGGCAAACCAACTTTATAAAAAAAGATGATTGGAAGAAGAGATCAGTGATGAGAAGACAACTATGCTGTGTCTCCTTCTGGTCAAGATACTTCCTAACTTTGCTAAGAGGGAAGAGGTTTTATGCAAGTGTGTTTCCTTTCAATATACATGGAAAAAGATGTATCAAACAAAACTGGATACAGAAAAGATATAGACTTACTGTGCTCCATTCTGTATGAAACCACTTAGATCCACAGGGTTTGAGGTAGCAGGATTGCTGGCTGGGAGGTTTTTCCAAATATGAACATTCATAGGGGTTCAAAACATCAAAATTACCTTCAGTTTTCCTAACACAAATGACTTCTCTCTGTTGAGTTCCACTGCCACATTCAGTAGAGCACTGTATCACAGATCAAAAAAAATGGTGGGATTTGTTATTCTAGTTATGTCCTTCAACTTGTTTCCAAAGTAGCATGTTTCTCCATGTTATTTGTTTCTAAAATAAAACAACACACACAAATCTGCACACATATGCTTGCATTTTAAATTAATATTCAAACAGGAAAATTTGTGAAGTTTTGCTTATTCCCTATTCTTGGACACACACCCAGACACTAACATCCAAAAACCATTTCCTTACTTTTATATGTTCTTTCCTCAGTAAAATGAACTTAACTGTATCTTTCCTTCCATCACTGGCATATGTATGACTTGAAGAGAAGGGAAAAGGGTAAAGTATTCCTTAAGTTCCTGTGGTAGGGTTTTTTTCTCAGAAGCAGAACAGTAGCCTAGATTAACCTTGGGTTATTATTATTATTTGTATGCAGTACGAACATAGTAGCCAGCAGTCCCAGTTACAAACCAGGATAGAAAAATGCTGAAGGATATAGTAATGACTTAATTCATCGAGTGACTACTGACTATGATGTCAGGTATTACATTCTTAATTTTTAATCTTAGAATGGTTACTGTGGTTAAAACTGTAGTTCTGTGGATTTTTATTCCACATGGTACCACAGACTCAAACCACATTTCTAATTACTTTTATGAATATGACTGTAAGCGTGCCTTTGGAAAAAATTTAAAAGTGTAGTTTTTACCTGTAGCTACAAAAAGAAACTGGCATTTATTTTTCTAATAAAAAGAGAAGCATAACTTACTTTCTCCATAAACAGTGTCACTGCTTCTTGCTGAAGCAGGATTGTATGCTCTGCACTGAACTTTAGAAGGTTATAAGGTTAGAGCACAGTTTTGCAGCTTTACAAATCCCCACATTCTGTGTGGTTTCTAGAAAATGCCTTGATCTGCCAGGGTGTTCTTTTCATGTTTGCAAGTATCTATGTGATGCAGTGTTGGTTCCAGTTCTGAAAAGCAAATTTGACTCACATGGACTCTTACTGCTCATTTAAAGGTTAAATACACACACAATACTGTTCCTGGCACTTGTAAAGAGGTTTTTAGAAGATGATTCCAGCAACATACTGGTTTCTATGTTGCACAAATGACTATGATTTTCAAGTGCTTTTTCTAGCTTGAACCAATTAAATGGTATCAAAAGTGGGGATTTTGTTTATATTTTGGGTGGAATTTATATCCCTTTATCAGATACCCACAGAAATCTTTGGCTAAATGAAGAACCTTGCGATGAATGCCCCCCAGATGAATTCTACAGGATATAATGTAACTGCACTTTCTTTAACACTGAATATCTCTGTCAATGCTCTCTTTTAATGGTTCCTCCAAAAGACAGTATCTTAACTTTCAGCCTTAGCTCTAGCGGAGCATCTTTGGGAAGGTCATTCACCAATGCTCCCTCCTGCTCCGGTCTACTGACGGTCTCCTTTCATTTTGGTATTTAGGAGTCAGGATTGGGCTGGTAGAATACCTGTTGACACACACCTCTTCCAGATAACATACAGCAAAGACCGTGCATCAAACAATTCGATTTCATGCAAAGAAAGACGGTGGGTCAGCTTAACAGAACAGGACTTTGTAAAATCCAGAAGCTTTCTCACTCAGAACTTAACGGGGAGAGTTAGGATGATCTTACTGAACGCATCTCTCTGTGGTAGAAAGGATAGCTACAAAGTTCCTATTCACCTGCATGGAGTGGTGTATGGAACAAGGCCCAGATTTATCTGTTATTAGTATGTTTGAAATCTGAATTTGTTATTACTCTTACACCATACAAATAATTGTCACTTATTAGCATACTAGCAGCCCTGTAATCTCCAGTGTACCAGTTTAATTTCCAGCTCTTTATCACCTGGAAGGATCTTGGAATCTGAAATGCACAGCAAAGAGACTTTTCCATAGCAACTCGGTGAGGTGCTGGCACTGGCAGTTCGGAGGCTCTCTAGGCCATATGAGGGTCTACACAAAGGGACAGAAATGCCTGGGCACCAGCTGACAGCTTCTGAAATGCCTTTGATCCTGACAGCAGAAATGTTTATTTAGCAACTTTGAGATGTGGATCAAGGGAAGAGTTCACCTTGAGGGAAGAGCATCAGAATACAGGCCACTAACCAAATTTTGTTCTTTTCACCTATTATCACAAATTTCAGCACAACAATACTGAAGGTAAGTTTTGGGTTTAGCCACTGTTCTTTGACTTAGTTATCTTTTGGAAATTCCATACACAGAGATACATATATCTCCCTGCAGGTATGCATGATCACAAGGGCTCTACTTTAAAAGGTGCAAATCTGTGGCTCTAGCATTCACCTGAATACACGAAGCAGCTTTGTTATCTTTTGTTTTATACTGGGTCAGTAGATGAGAAATAAAAAAGAAGGTACAGAAGAAGAGGAGGACAAAATCTTATTTTCATCTAAGTAAATAAACAGTGGGTGCTGAATAGTATTTAACATCTGCACATATATTACAAAAAAAAATCCAAATATTCCACAGAGATGCAGAAATACCTTACCTTTATTGCACAAAAATACATTTTTTAAATTAAAATACCCACAGAAAACAAATACATGTTAGCTAGAGCTCACCTGTGTCCAGCCCCCAGCAAACCACTCCACTTTACCAGCACAGGGTCCATTGTTACAGGACATTGTTTCAGAGGGTCTGTTATTGCCACAGCCTTCCAGAGGCAGACTGCTGACATGGTTCGTCATGCAAACCACGGAACGCGTACGGACTCCCTCACCACATTCTGCAGAACACTGGGGAGCAAAAGGCAGAACACATTCACTACTCCGTCCTCCAGACTGCACGGTGAAATGAGGAGAAGCAACAATCATGAAAAATAAATGAATCTATGCCAAGCTGATTATTTTTACTTGCAATTCAGCTGTAGAGAATCGTTATGTTTTAGTACTTTTGAATACACTACAAGTAGTACCTGTCCTTTACAGTCACAAATGAAAGAAATTTAAAGAAGAAGTCTGCATTTTGTAGCTCTTTATTACCTTTCTCACTTTTCCTTCCTTCTTCCTGTCTGTAAATTCTTTCAGTTTTCATTTCTTTCACCTTTTTGCATACCAATTAACCGATCTGAGAAGGGATAATGTCAGTAAGCAGCTTTTCAGACAGCAGTTGCATTTCAGCCTTCGAACTGTTCTGTGAGTATCTCTGCTGCCCACTCAAGCTGGCAGCCAGGTGAACTTACACCGGCTAAAGGGATGAGGCTCGGAAGACTCTGCGGGTTGGGGCATTGGTGGTAAAATGACTATATAGCGCATCCCGGAACTTTTCCATATGACGAGTTGATAGAGTATGAGAGTGCGGTAAAGCAGAAAAATCTAAAAGTATTTGATAACGTACGGGTTCACACCCAGTATTTCAACTACAGAGGCCACGATAGCACCACTATTAGTGAGAAGGTTAATAACCAATACGTTCATTGATCTTCTCAAGAGAGACGAGTGACTGAATGTACAACTGCTTGCAAACTACTCGCACTCGCTCACACTGAAGTGTACCAGTGTTTGTGTGAAACGTGTACTCATGATATATTTACTCCACAGATACAGTACAGAAAAACATCTTTCCTGTCAGCAAGTTGGTTTCTTTCACAAGATGTTCAAACAGAAGGGCAAAGCTTTACTGAAATGGAATCCCTAGGAAACTAAGAAAGTAATTCAAATTTGCACGTCATTTTTTTAACAAACAAAATACAACTTTGGAACAACGAGAAAATCAGTATTTAAAGAGATGCTTATGTACTCCACAGGAATAGGAAAAAAATTGCTCATAGTTTGGAATGGTTTCTTCCTCCATCTGCAAGACTGAGTAATTAAGCTTCTCTTAAATTATGCCTATAAGTAGCATAATGAACCTTTTTTGTTGGTGGTATACAACAAAATTTTCCACTTTCACACAGATACGTAAAATAAGTATTACTTACCTCCTCAGCAAAACAGATTTAATGGCTAAGGAGATCTTTTCAAAGTAAGCTGGCAAAATCTTGAAAATACAAGAATGATGTAAATTGTGCTACTAGTGAACATTTTCCTGTTTATGTAAACTAAAACTAAACTCAACCCATTTCAAACAGCCAACTGCTATGTAAAATGGCTACCCTTCAAACCCACTGTAGAGAAACACATTTTGTGGCTGTTCATATTTTATCCTCGGCAAGTATGTTCAATTACATTATGCACCGAGAACTCTGCACACACTCTGCAAATACTTTTCTCATTTCTAAGTAATTTTCATTTGACAATCTAATTTGCTTTTCTGCTGTGCAAACCAGGGCTGGAAACAAGTTCAGTCTATAAAGTCATCCAGAAAATCTCCATAGCCTTGTGTTTTAAATGATTATGCATGAACTAGGCTTATATATCAAATAACAAAGGAAATACCAAATGGGAAGGTATAGGGTTGTCCCACCCTCTGCTGCAAGATTTTACTACAGATTAACTACCCTCAAAGGATTTACAAAGCAAACTTAAACCTGAATGTTTCTGCGTTAAGTATTTGGCTTTTCATAGGTTTTTTTCTTCCTTTCAGTAAAAATCTTCCATGTGAAAGCCATGATTTCCAAAGCCCAAGGCCGGGAGTAGGGAGCGTTTGGCTAGTGAATCCTTTCCCTTTGGTTTTCACAACTGACACACCCACTACTTTCCACTTGGCGCCATTGATTTGCTGCATTAATACACAGTAACTGCCATAACCTAACACTGTATGACATGAGGAACTTTCACAAGCTGCAACTTCTCTGTTCTGGTCCTATTATTAAAGATATTTCGTTTCACTGTCTTGTTTTAATTGGCAGAAATTCCTCAGAAACTTTAGTCTGTGGAACACCCTCCCTAGTTTTAAGAGGTCTGCCATTTCTTCTCTTCCTGAGGTCCTTCCCTCATGAGTTCAGTTTCAGAAGGTTTCCATTCCCATTAAAAACTAAAAATACCCACCCCCCCATCCAGTGCTCTAATAGTAGTCAGAAAACAACTCTAACAGCAGTCCAGGAAAATAAAGGTAGTTCCTCAAAACTTGGAAAACTGCAAGTGGAAGCCTGCATTTTTTTGTCACAGACACAGAGCATGGTGGAGCAAAAAAAACCACTTTAACAGTGCCAGTTCCCTTTCACTAAGGTGCCAGCCCTACTCATTACCCTCAACAGGCACAACAGACCATAAGAAAGAGGCAGCAGCAAATCTACCAGAACTCAAGAGTCCTTTCAGCCAGGTCTCAGCACCATTGCTAGCCTTAATTAAATTTTTAAATTACCTCCAGTTGAGTTCCAGTAAAACATCCCCATTTGTGCAGGATTTCTGCCTACCACACTTTAACCTTCATAATTTCAATTATTCCCCACAAGACAGTAAACTTTAGGAATCACATCTCCTGACGTTATACTACTACAAAAAATAAAAATTAAGATCTGTGTTTGAAATACATTTATGAAACTCCTCAGTATTATTTGACCTACTCTGAGAAAATCCCTTTCAGAAGGGATTTTAGAAGGATTATGTAACCTTTGTTTTCCCAGTAATAAACTAAGAATTGTATTTCAGAAGCTTGCTTCTGCCACAGTTCCAAGACTCGGGACATATTTTCAAAGGACATAAAACCATTGAGAGCAGCCCTGATTTCTTAAAAAATATCCTTATGTAGTGCCAAAACACTTTCTGATATCTGGATTTCAGTTATTTCCCTTTGGAGTGCATCTATGCACACAGTAGGTGCTGGATCAGAAGTCAAACGACCCTGTATTTAGTCTAGCAGATCCATGGTAACAAAAGTTTTGAAATATGGTCTAAGAATTTTTGGACACTTAGCTGGATCATGATTGCTTCTACATATGCACTTTTACTTCCCTTACGTGTAGCTCCAAACACTGTTGGTACCTGCATATTACTAATGCTTTCTGAAGTAAGTAACATTAGGGAACAGACCTCTTCACTGCTCTGGCTAATGTAATAAATATCACTTGCCTTAAGAGCTGTAAGGACTTCTCAGGCCCTGAGTGCACCAATATGCCTTCCTGGCCCTGACCAGCCTCACCAAACCCCCCTGCCCAGGGCCCAGGGTCTCCTGGTCTGTCAGTCCCTGTCTAAGCTTTATCAAAGACATCCCTGTACCCAGCCCCAGCCTGGGCACAGGTCTCCTCGATCCCTCACCCTTGGACTCACTTCCAGCTTGACCCTGGACCTGCCTGATAATCCACACTCTCGTTTGCCCCCACCCTGTCACCTAGGAGCCTGCCCTGCTGACCCAGCAGGGACACAGTGGGCCGTAGCTTGCAAGGCTCCTCCCTGCCTTCCGACGTGCATCTAAACCAGCTGAGTCGTGGCAATGGGAGGCCAGCTCTAGAGAAGAAAACAGCCTTCTCTGCCTCCTTCAAAACTCTCCTGGCTCTGTGTTTCATTGAAACTCATGGAGTGAGTTACGTATTTATACATAAAGAATGCAAAACTTCTATTTCCATATGATTCCCACATGAAATCAATGGAGAGGGGTATTTTATCTTGTTTTCATTTTATACTGAAAACAAATAAACATTGATAATCAAAAATAATGAAACGCCTGCACAAGCTCCGTGGTGGTCTCTCTTCCTTTGTTTTTTTCTAACAGAATCCAGGAGATTTCACGTGAGCTATCCAGATTTAAATAAAAACAGTGAAAGAAGAGTGTGGGCTACAATGTTCGTCCATGGTTCCACATTTAGCCGGTCACCAATCCACTTGTACGTGTTGGGCAATGATGTAAGACTGTGAGGAAGCAAGTGTTGATTTTTATGAGGCATACCACAGTGCTCTAATGGAAGATATTACAGAAGCATCGCTGTTACTCTTTTTAATGAAGAGTGAAATCCAGAGCATGCGCTTGATCTGTTTGATTTTGTTCCCTGATGTGCAGCATTTTTTCTTTCTTCCCAAGATCTTATTTTGGCTTCAGAATCTCATTAACATCTAAGAATTGTTTGTATTTTGGCTTCTTTTCTAAGTATGCTCTAAACATGAAATGAGAAACAAATGAACAGAGGAGATGGCAATGAGTAATAAACAAAAATGCAAGAGGGGAATGCTCCGGTTAGCTGGAAGGAAACACTGGTGAGTCTCCCATTGCTGTAAATCAGGAGAAGGCAGTTTCCCGCTTCTGACCCACAGGAGAAGTAAACTTTCCAGCAATTAGAGCTGTCAAAGAATCAGTCATGTGAAATGTTTGCAAGAATCTCATCTGCTCCCATCAATCCACTTCTGTTGCTAAGTTCAGTAGGGTTCACCAGCTTCACTCTCCTGATTAACGAGTGCAGCTCGGTGGAACTCTGCCGTTTTAACGCAGTGTGACATCTTCAGAGAATTACGAGACAGGAACCCATCTTTCTACAAATGCACATAAAAATATCACACAAGTTTGTCCAGACCCTCTATAATCAAAAGGGGTCAAAAGATCACGTAGAAAGCAAAGCCATGAAACTTCAGTTAATTCTCTTATTTATACTCAAGATGGAGCCATAAATGTAAAGACAGGCACCTACAAAGGAAGATGACTCTCACTTTGCTGGTAGAGACTTTTAACCTGTAATCTTTCCCCTTGAAATGAGTAAAAATTTCAGTTTCTCCAAGACTGAGCCTTAGGGATATCAGAATATGGTGTTTAGACTTACTTCAGAGACAAATACCAGAGCATATATATATTTTTCAGAAATTAGGGGTTTGTTTCTTAAGGATGAATTTCTTTCCTTCCTTCCTTTCTTCCTTCTCCACGTGTTCCACCAGTGTGCACATGGCAGCCATACAACTCATAAGCTTTGCAAGCCAAAAGTGTGTGTAACATACACACAATGGACTCTGATACCTGTTTATCAGAATAAGTCAAGAACTGTGTTACTTTAGGATCATGGAGGGGTTTTTTAATTACTTGGGATTAATGACATGTATAAAGAATCATTCTGTGCAGAAACTGAATCCAAGAAGGTCAATGCCATGGGGGGAAACAGGTGGGCCATAAAATACATAAATACATGTTGTGGGAAAATTAGGCAGGAGAACATGGCAAGAAGGCAGCCAGGTGCTATTTACGGAGTAAAGCTACATACAGCCCACCCTGGGAAGGAGAATCAACGGCTGTACACAACTCTGCGTGCACTCTGCAGGTTTGTAAGTGCACGTATGTCGTACTGCGGAAGTGACATTTAGGGAAATTTAACGCTATGATCTTCAAATTCAGAACCACAGAAACTGTTAGTGAAAATGAAGGCAAGTAGCATGGATGTGGATCAATTCAAACTTTGCAAGGTTTCAGTAAAATAAGAAAACTCAAAATCTTTCCACCAATCCTAAATTAGATCCCATCCTTTTCTTAAGAGTCATCTCTTTCTCTTCCTGTGTTAAGGAATATCCTTGTCAAATTCTGCACAAATATACATCACAGTTATCAAACCTTGAAATTGAAAATCTGTGGGCAGCAAAAACAATCATAATTTTTATGTTACTGTGCTTTTTCTTGATGTTTCGCTAATGAACCAAGGCTATATTGTAATGCCCTGTGCATCACATAAATCCGGACGTGGAAGTTTGCTGTATCCCTTGCTGAAAGAGAGAATGCTGAAAGAGATGCCAAACCCATCTCTGACAGGCCTCTGGAAATCTCTACCTGCTGCATGTACAACACCACACAATAAGTGTTTGCAAAACTGTTTCAGAAAAGTACAGGCCAGGCTTCTCTTATGGCTGTAACCAAGTTTGAACTCAAACATTTCAAAGTTCCAACATTCTCAAAAGTTAGAAGTTTTTTGCCTCTTATTTCTAGCCACGGCTGAAATGTCAAAATACAATGGGAAAGACTGTTCTGTGGTATTTCCAGCTGGGACTTGAAGTAGGCATGTAATAAATCTCACAAAGAAGGTCTGTTCTTGTGAGATTTCCACCACCGTTTTGCGGGCTCTAGAGGTTTGAACAAGCTTCCTTTAAGCATTTGAACTTCTGGCTGTTTATCTGAACCACTTGTGGCTGTCCATCGCTGATCTACGCTTATTGCTGAAGTGTGGCTTGGCTTAATGTACTTCTAAGGAATTGTTTGGGGGAATTAACACGCGAAGTCCATACACCTGGGAATGCCCATTTCTATTCCGTGACAGAATTTTCCTCTTGTCTTTCAATAGGAACACACTCCTCTACAAAGAGAGACTTCTGATTCTGAAAGACAACCCTTGAGAAGCATAAGAAGAAAGCCAGTGGCCAAAGGCCTGAGTTTGCAAAGCTACTGACTACTCCTATATCACACTGACTTCCACTGGAATCACTGCCAGGGAACGACTGTGAGCATCCGAGTTATAAGGTATGTGCAAACCTTAGAAGATTCTGCACATTCTAGCCTCAGTCTACTCTTTCCTGAAATAAGCTGTTCCTTCCATTCTCTCTGTGAATCCAACCCCAAACCCGCTGCTGGCAGAAGTGATGGTGAATAATGCCAACGACAGTAGCAAGCATTTGGAAGAAATTAATTTGTACACTTATATAAGCTGAGAAGGTAACAAAATCCATTCTTTACTCTATGACCCTAAAACCTTTGTGGTAAGAAAAAACTCCAACATTTTCCACATTACCTGCTTCACTTTTCTGTGCCATTTAATACATATAAATAAACATGATAACGTTCTACAGTCATATCTTTCAGCTACAAAAACTACTTTCAGTTCTGAAGAGGACAAAATATCAATGCAGAATAATTAGGAAAATATTGACGTCTTCACTAGAATGCATGTGCTTTACATGGAGGAGCTGCACTAGCTGATAGTACCTGGGCCAGTTTTTCAAGAAATACGTCTTTGAGAGTAGAATGCATTTTTCTCACTTACTCTAAAATACAACTTTCATGGCACTGTACACAGAACAGCTCTACAAGCTTAACAAAAAAAGGGTACTGGCATTTCCCCTACAGGAAAATCTTTGCCATTTGCACTAATACCTATACTTTACCTGGTAACTTTCTGTCTGTGCTGTTGTTGAGTGAGCAACAACTGGAAAAAAAAAAAGTTCAATTGACAACAACAAAGATTTATTAGTGTATACTTTTTTTTCTTTACAAAATCTAGGAGTTGTCTGGAGGCTGAAAATTTTGCAGGCCTTGAACTGTAGCAAGAGTCTGTTCAGCCTTTTTCAAATTATGTGACATACCAGGTACCTGTCCTACATTTCAGAGATACTACCAAAAAATGACCTAAATAATTAATCAATGAAGTTATCAAGGTAATCTTAGAGCTTCAAGGATAAATTATATTATTTGCCTGCCAAAACAACTAGTCAAAGGGAGATGCAATCAGGATTTTCTGGACTGAAGGCTCACTTGTCTACAGATGAAACTGATATGCAAGCATCCACAAGAGGGACCAAAATACCAGGCTTTTCTTACACCATGTTCATCAGCCTTTTAATGAAAGCAAATAAATATCAATACTGAACAACCCGGAGCCCAGTCATGAAACAAGGTAAATCACCTCTGGAGAATCTGACTCATTGGAATAAAAAAATACATCCATGTTCACAAAGTACAAAAGCCTCAATCAACCTTGCTTGAGTTTATTAAGTTATTCCCCTCTTTTCACAGCTATAGGATAATTATTTTATGGCTTGAACATAAACCCAGATCTCAAACTTCTATCCCTTAAAAAAAAACAGTAGAAAGTTTTAGAGTCTGAATTTTGAGACTCGGGGCTAAGCAAGGCAGAATAATAAATCTCAGCACACCCAATATTTTGGGAAGTTCAGACACAGGGCCAATTCTAAATCCAGATGTTTGGCCATGTACCCACACATTTGCCCTTTCTATGCATTCTTCTATCTAACACAAACTCAAGATGCCCTTGGGATTGTTATGTTTTGTTTGCCCTTGGCCGTTTAACAAATCAAGGATAAACACGGAAAATAACATCAGTCCTTTTATGGCTGGACAGAGATGTATTTTTTTTTTAAATTCTGATGCACCTAGGCTGTTTTAAAGATTTGGCAGCACAAAGACAACGAGAAGCCTTACCCTGTCACTCCACCCTGTAAGGAACCAGCTCTTGGCACAGGGACCCATGTCACAGTTCTCAATATCATTTGGCCGCAGCTTCATGTTACATTCCTCATCATCAACAATGTCTCCAAGGTTGCTGACACATTTCACATCTCGGGTCCTCTGCCCCACTCCACAAGGCACTGAACACTGTAACAAAAGGGAGGTTGCGTCAGGACTCCATGCACGAACTGCAGTGGTTTAGCTGGGACCTGGGAACGTACAGCT